AGACTGTCTCAACTGGTATGTCTAACTGTCTTTCAAAACGCGCTAACCCGAAGCTTGAGTCAACTCCACTTGATAACAAATTAGTATTGCTCACTCATTTGGATTGTTTTTTATTCTACTGGTGTAGTAAGTTGTAGCCTCGCACGTCCTATCATGGAACAGTCGACTTATGCTGAGTCTCTGTCCCTTTTTGACGCAAGCTAGTCAATTCCGGCCGTCAAAAAGCACAACGCCAACCTGCGAAATCCGGTAATCTCACCGTGCATCTGAGATACGACGCGCCATCGCCATAGGTAGTTTCTGTGATCTGCTCTCCCCGTTTGTCACCGATAGGAAAGCTCTGACCGTAATCGAAGTGATCTGTGAAGTCATAATCGACACACACCTGACTCAGTTTAACTGATCACCCGCGTCAGCTTCTTTCATAGCTATTGCGGCACACATTTCGTGGTCATTTTTGGCAGAATCAGACGACCATCCGCGAGCAGATAATAACAGCACAATGCCGAACTCTGATTGCGTATCTCTAGCTCTGTTGAAAGACGTTATAGAACTGAAGGTTGTGTTCTCAATGGTTTAGGTAACTGAATAGGTTTCCTCCTCGTTCTATGCGACGGGATTCACTTTTGCTCGATGTCCAAGAACGATCTGACTGACGACTGCGCTAATCAGAGGTGTATTAGCTGAACACTAACAGTGACAAAGCTGGTCGCATTCCTCATTCCTCCCAGATTTTGCAACACGCGTGTTGAGAAAACATGCCGGAACCAAATCGGGGTCCAAGCCTGGGGTCGTAAATGTATCAATCAGAATTTCATCCTCATACGGTTTCTAGTCTCGCGTCTCCAATGTCTCGATCAGGTTTTGCGTGTACCTGCCCATCGTCCACTTCTCCTTGGTCCCTTTGTGCTTGTTGGGCACAGGTGAAACGAGTGACGCTAAGGTCAGACTATGTCCGGACGAAGTGTTATACAAAAAACCTAACCTCGGCATTTACTTAGGTTAATGCAACCCATCATCTAGATGTGTCGTTGATGAGGGACGCTGAGAGATGTTACTCAAAACGGGAGTCAATGTAGCGAATGTTGTCACGTCTGTCTGCTGGAATCCCGTGACTTATAAAACCAAAATAGACCGGGAAAAATATTGAAAAATGTCCATGTGAAAACAAACAACAAACATTGTTTTGTTGATCTGTCACTTTTCTATCCGCCTATTCATTTCCCCTCTTGCTTTTTTTTGTTATCGCATCGACATCTTGGCTTATTTAAGAGACATTGAATTTATATATTTATATATGTAATAATTAGTATGTGAATTAGTGAACAAAATTTCCCTGGAAGCATACCACTGACTACTCGTAATGCGTGCGTATCCGGTAATCTTTTCCCAGTTCATTCATATACTTGCACACAAGAAGTATATTTTCGTTTCAATAACCTTGTTATATATATATATATATATATATATTCAAAAGGAGAAGGCGAGCACTGAGTGATAGTATTTATTGGGAAGTTTCGATCCAGGACTCGTTGTCAAACGATAATACGTGTATATATAACTATGTTGAAGAGAGAGAGCTGGAGAAGGCTGCGGCTATTGGTAATAGTCGCAATCTTCTTCGT